CACGTCCCTTCGTCAAAAGCCATCATATCGGTGGAAAAAACAGCTACTACTAGATCCCTTCATGACTTGGCTTATTGTCTCTTGACATCAAATAAACCCTCACGTGGTAAAAGAAAAAACCCCTTTTGTTCGCATTTAGCTTTACAAAAAGAGCCGGTCTATCTACGCACGGTAATATTTTATACACACTATGTATTAATATATACACTATTGTACATATTCTATACATATGATGTAAGACATGTATGCAAATATTATTTAAAAACATTTCTCATTACCCGTGTGTGTAGATAAAGCAGACTTTAGCTGATAATAGCAACAAAATAAACATATTATATAAACAACATAATAAAAAATAAATCAAAAGATAGTATCTGTTTCACGAAGCAAATATATAAGACATGCATTTTATTAGGCGTCGAATAAAATATTTTAAATAACTTTCGTGCCTTTTAAACCAAATGTGTTAAATTTATTAAAACAATCTGAATGGTTTGGAAATGACCCGATTTGATGAACCGATGGCAAAAAAACCAACATAACGTTTAAACTTAACCCCGACGGTGGAGTAGGGTTAATTCGTTCAGACATCGCCGGTATTCACGTCACGTTTTGCTCGGGGGACGAACTGATGAGTTTACAAGAGTTTCCTGCTAGCAAAACACGAGACTATGTGGAGAGAGAAAGAATATAATAACAATAATATATAAACTTTATTTTCCGAAGCAAAAACAAAGAATGTGACCGGCCATATGTGCGACGGTAACGCCGCCATCAGAAACTTTCAGAAATTTAATCCGTCACGAAAATTGACAGTAATCCAACAGTCCATTAGTGAAATTAATCAAACCAATAATTTAACGTTCGACAGAAAGTCAACGTTTCAAAATCTCTAGTGACTAGTCCACAATAAATATATTTATAAAAAAAATAACATGGTTTCGCCCAAAGGAAAACTAAAAAACTTTACTGTAATGATGTATCATTAAATTTTGCCATTTTTGATAGTGTTTTTTTAGGTTTTCTTACTATAACCTATCTGTATCTAGTACATCTTGAGCCCGGCCGGCCGTGTTAATGTAATGGCCGCCGGGCTGAATATGTACTATGTGTTTTAGGTTATGCGTTATATGCTAAGGGTTATAGAGTTTTTGCACTTAACTATAATTTTTAAAAATACAGCATATTATATAGTGAAAACAAAAATACTGAAAATATTACTGATATGTATTTTTTGGGCAATTTGTTTAATATTAGGTAATTTTAAACTTTGCTGTTTGAGATAGAGTCGCGTTACTTTTTAAGAAAACTACTATACAGTTACTGCCCCGAATGCATTATACTTACTCCTATATACTATCGGGATTAATTTATTGCGAATAAATATGTCACAAATGATAAGTCTCTAACTAAAAAACTCGTTGTAATTTTAAATATAAATGAAATTCGATAGGTATATATCAGCTTTTAAAATTACTTTTTATATTTTCGCTATTGACTAGGAATATCTTAGTAAAGACCTATCTACATAACCCGGTTAACTGTATTGAGTTGACCAAGAATAAATTATACCCGGTCGCTGTTAATATATAACATATGCGTTGTCTGGCGAAAGGAAGATAAAAAAAAAACGGAAGGTACCGTGGAAAACGGAACAACAGAAAATCCGCAGTAATGCGTAACAGACATAGAGCTGCATTATTTCTTAAACGTTATGTGATCTTATGATATAAAATGTATGCGTTTCGAAGTAAGACTGACGGACACTTTAGTGCACATTCGTTCGTACATAAGATGTAATATACCAATTTAAATGTTGGCAGCACAGGGTAGATGTTTGTGAGAGATATAATATTTTGTTCACAGAATTACGGGGAAACGCGTCGAGTCATAATTATTATTAGCTCAACGAGACGGTTGATAAAATATTCGCCAAGTGAACAAATTAATAAATTATAATGCGAAAACAAACGGTATTGTGATTAAATTCCCGATACTCCGAATTGTAACGTACTTAGCGATGTAAATAATTTAATGATTTTTCGGAATCCGCAAAGTTATTTTACTTGTACAGACTGCGAGAGCTCAATATTCTAATTACTTTCAGTCTTGTAATTATTATTTTTTTTTTACTTCCAAACACAAAAGTCTGAGATCGTATATCGATCTGTAAACGTTATATTAATATTATGTTCAATACGGGCGTATTTTATTATGTTCTCCTTTTAACACGTTTGCAATAAAAAAAAGTCATCAGACTTTTTTTAGGGAAGCGGGGGGGGGGGGAGTAACGGAAACCATAAACTCGGCGAACGTCTAGCATCCGATAACGTTCGAATTGAACTTGAGACGGGAGACTTAAAGCCGTTATTTCAGTTTCTTTTGGAAAATTCACTCGCGTGGCTTCGGCGCGTTTGCGGGCATTAATTATAACGGCGACGGCTCAAGTCTCGATAGGCAACGCGGAGAGACTTCAGAAGCTTTATATGTACATGACGATGCATACGGTAATTTATTTCCCTATCGTATAGGTATGATGTTTAGGCCTATGTGTGTGATATATATATATGTTACCGACAGTCTCTCAGATAGAAGGGAGAGGGGAGACGGGAGCAAAAATGAATTTGGCGGGAGTTCTGCTTGTGCCATCGCTATAACTGCCGCTGACTCCACTGCAACAGGCTGAAAACAAGCCGATCAATAAAACGGCCGTCTACGTTATGCGCCGCAAGCGGCGACAGTCTGGTCACCGTCGCCGACACTCTTTTATGCCTTTACACCGTAAAAAAAAAATGATAAATACTATTTGTTCCGGTCGGAGGCCTGCACGACCGTCGCGTCGGTGTCTACCGCGAGGGCTAACTTTTTTTTCGGTTTGTAAGTGCTTAGGGCAACAGTGGCCGTTTTCTCAACTCCAGCGGAGTCGGAAAGGACGATTTTATAAAACTGCATCGAGGTCAGCAATAGTGCATATAAGAAAATGACCGATGATGTAGCCGAAATGAAAACCACGAGTTGGTTTTTTCGGGAATATTGCGCCAATAGAGTGGAAAATTAGAGTGTCTATACAGTGTGTTGAAAAACTGAGTAAAAACTAAAATAATAACACAGGGAAAAAAGGATTAAGGATATTCGGAGGTCTGCAGACGAAGGTAGATTTTTTAAATAAAGACATTAAGATACGCAGAGAGAATATAGCTGATCCGTCCTATTTCTATGGGCAGCATACATATAAAGCATGAAACAATTTTGCAATTCCGGTTAATAAATATCTTATATGTCAAACTATTTATTATGTATTATCTTATAAATCCGTCATTAGTCTCACGGGGTAAGAAATGTACGCCCGCCACACTTTAACTAAGTGTGACCGAAAATCGAGGGACTAGTGATGGGTTAAAATATTGTCTAACTCTGAACGACTCACTTATCATTTGTTTAAATAATTATATTATTTTTATATGCTAAACATTTTAAAGCGCTTCCCGAAACTGTATGTAATCTTGAGTTTTGAACGTTTTAAGAGAAAGTTAGATAAATATTATAGTTGATAATTTGAAATATAATTATTACAATTCAACCATTTGTAAGTTATGTATTTCTCTAAACATCACGTTTATTATGGTAATTAATAATAAAAAAAAATATGAAACTCTGTACAATATATCTGGAACGTTTATGTAATGAAAATATTTTTAAAAAAATACCGGTTATTATTAGTAAATTAAAAATAATATTATATATATAAAAAAAGCCTTAAATTCTTAACCAATTAAAATTATCTCATAATTGCTAGTAGTTAAAATTAGGCTGATATTAAATTTTAACTTATGTTAATAGTTTTTTTTCAAATTCAGTAGGTACACACAAAACATAGGTGCTCTCTATTTTATACAAAAGGACGATATTTCGATTCAATGTCGTCCTACTACGACATCTCTTGCCTACTACTTTACACCGTCATATACTGCACTAATAATCTTTTGCTGGCCAATTTAATCATACAATTATGTGTAAAAATTGTTTTAGTTTCAGAAGGGAATGAGTCATGTCTCCTTTGTATACATTTTTAAATGTATGCGGTACCATTTAAGTTTTAAAAGTTGATATAAAAATAATTAGTTTAGGAGGGCGGTAGGAACATAAAAATTCGTGGAAAATTGAGATCACATTACATACAATCTCTATGAAAACAAAAAATTCATCCTGTATGTGTATATATATATATGTACATTAGGTATATGTGTTTATCTTATATTCTTATTCTGCGTCGACAAAAGATATGCCAGCTCGCATATATACCAATTGCTTCGGGCGCCGGATAAAAAATGACCTTAATACACACATGCCTGCGGGTGTCATCTTCATCCCCTGCCGTCACAAGATTAAGCCGTGCCGACGGTACATAACTCACAGCATCCATCCTGTTATAGTAAACTCTATAAGTGGCCGAACGTGAAAAATTCACCATGTCACTTCCGACCAATACCGATTGCTTTTGGGCCTTGTGACAACACTCCGTTAACGTATTGCTTGCACACACACACACACACACACACTTAAGTACAACATCCATTAAATGCATAACCACACAAGTACGCCTGAACGTACCACTTGCATATGAAAAGTTTCGAAATTCATAACAACATAATATATTACCGTGTTGATTGGTAGGTTATAGCTACCGATATTTTGTTGTTTGCCTTTACCAATATTTTACCAATGTGAATAATTTAATAACAGCCGTCAGGGCCACGTCTCGGTCAAAAGTCGACAGAGTAATAATAATATAAAAATACATAGCGATAGGGCCGTGAAAATATAATATTTGTACACCGCGGCCCTTCCAAGTCCTACCTAACACATAGTTATCCTACGGTTTATATAATTTTCGGAAACTGATAATAATTTGAGAAAGGATACAGTAACGTTTGGAGGGTATATTATATTCCCAGACGAACTAAATGCGATTTTTTTTAAATATAACTGATTGTACTTACATGTTTTTAGACTACGATTGCTTATGAATCCTGTAACAAAAATAATAATTAATGATGTTTAAATTTAAAAAAAAAGGTCTAATAAGTAATAATTATACAATTTTTCATACCCTACGGGTTACAGATTTCAAAAATAATAATTACAGAATGAGTTATTTGTTGTCATAAGTATAATTGTTTTTATCAAATGTGGGCTTACATTAATATATCGATAGTTAAAAATAACCTTGATACTTAATAAATGTATCCAGTATCATGTATCAATTAAACAAGTTAATACAAAAATAAATTAAATTAGTTATTTCATTATTATCAGACTTACTCTATATTTACTTAATACTATATTAGTGATTAGTTATAAAGGGTATAAAGTCAGGAATTATACATTTTGTTGACAAAATTACTATTCAAATTTGTATTTTATAATTCTCTAATTGTGTCTCAACAGTTAATAATTGTCTCAATAATCGATACATGTACCAAACGTCTAATATCTGCATAAAAAAATGTCAATGTCCACCTCTGGTTTGTAGTTATTTCATCTATTTGGCCTGTGGCGCTGGGTGGTGCTACAGTCTTACAAACAATAGGATCATACAAAACTGACTGAACTTTTCGGTGGTAGGGATATATGAAGCGGTGTTGATCTTTAGCCATTATTATTTGACTATCAGACTCAGGTGGTTACTAGCCCGAGGAAACAACACAAATTACTATTATAGCCGCAAAAAATATATTAATAAACTTTAACATCAAGAGAACCGTAGGGCGAATTTACTCAGCCAACTTTCCCTCGCCGCACATCACAGCAACCGCTCCGACAATTATTATAGAAATGCAAACGCTTTCAAAACTCATCTACATTTTCGACATCGTATAGTTCTCTTGCCACTAAAAATGAAAACCAATTGCAATAACTTCGCCAGCGGAAAATATATATTTGAATTAAAACTTTACATTATCATTTAGATTTCTGTACGAACAGACAAAATATGAGCTTCAATAATATCATATTAGCTTCGATGCATAGCTAAGAAGGCGTTGTTTTTAAAATTATGTGTTTCTATTGTTGTACCTGGGCCCGCAATATCTTCTAAGCCGCTGAATCGATTTCTATATGTAGCAAGTGTACAGATCAGAAATCATACCTAAAAGATACATTACTGGGCCAAACATTCTTCTTTACACATAGTATTATCAATATACGTCAACAAAAAAAAAGTTGTATAAATCCTTTCCCCCAGAAGGGGTCGACAGTTTTCATTCGTTTCGCTTTTTTAGGAATAGTTTTAGGGCTAACATGTGAAAATTAGACTGAAGGTATATCAAGAGTGAGGCTATAACATATAAAATCTGTATTTAAACTTTTTTGTATTCAGGAAGCACCATAAAAAGGAGGGAAAATACACCTTAACCATGTTCTCTATAAGAATGTTACTTATAATGTGAACGTGGCCTTACCACAAAAGACATGGTTGTTAAGTGGAAACGACGAATTTAAAATGTATAATTTTTTTTAAATTTTCAAATAAAATCAATAACATTTTAACATGCGAATAATGCGGCTATTGACGAGAATACTGTTTCGCTATACTCAAACAATACAACAGTTTTAAAAAAAGTCAGTATTTAAATAGAGAAATAAAAATAACAGAAAAGGAAAACCAATACATAGTTATTATAATGGAAATGGAATTCATAACGGCAATATAGGAATTCGAGAGTCTGACACATTGAAAAATTGTATAATAACTCAGCTAAATGTTTCATGGTAAATAGTGAGTTTATGAATAATTGACACCGACAGAATATGCGAGGCGATAATTTAATCCAACCAGAGCGAAAGAGAGTGGATGGTTATAAAAGGTTTGCTGCAGCCTACCATTGTGGAGGCGAAGCTATATTATATTATGTGACACATAAAAATAAATATATCCGCTCTTTTAGCCTATGTCGGGAAAATAATGTGTATTTGCATCATAATGTTATATACGTGGTATGCCGTAAAGCAAAAAGTTTAGACAAATGAATGACGGCTAATTACAATTTGCAAGCGACCCTTCGCTAAACGAAAAAATAAAAAAAATTTAAATGTCACGCTATGTGAAGTGCCGTGATCCAGTGAATAATGGTTGACAAAAACACTCTTGCTCGTCCGACCAAGTTTATTGTTAAGCGTCGTTAACGTTATTTAGTCACGATTGTATCAATGGTCCCCCGGTTAGGTTCGAAATAAACAAAACGGAATATAGACACTAATTATTATCACATAGTTTTATTAGCAAAAACCTAATTTAAATGTAAAAACGATAATATTTTAATACAATTTTTTGTTTTAAAAAAAATGTCTTCAATTACTAGCTTGAACGATGGGATAGCGCTATTATTTTAATTACCTCGAGTTAGTTTCATGGAGTAATATAAACTTTTAGTTGAAACGTAAGTTAACTGAAAACTGAGTGCATTACAACACGCAAACCATATCTGAGAAGTTACACTATTCGGAGGAAATGCGCTGGTCTTGGCGTAAAAGTACATCTAGATAATGTTCAAGACACTATCTAAATTTGGAAATGGGTAATTATCGATAAAACAAAATTAAAGCATAGATCAAAAAACTTGTTTGACACTATGTCCAGTAATCTGAAAAAAATATTGATACTTTTTTTTGATACAGATAGATGATACACCCATTAATATCAAGTTGATAGTTATATATGTATCAAACATCAATATCGATTAATACACTATGCAGAAATATTATAATACAAATTTTAATTGTAATTTTATAAGTAATCGGTAATACAATATTTATTGTTAAAAATATAACATATTAAGTTATTCATGAGATAACTAATTACGATTTAGAATTTTAAATGTATCAATAAATTGTTGATACATGGTACATTTTTTTTTTGTATCAGAATATCATTGATACAAGCGCAGACCTGTGTTCTTAGTTGGTGTATAGTTTAAAGTTAAAGGTACTGTTCAGATAGTCGGACAAGAACAGTGTCAGACCTGAAACTAAAACAATGTTATTTGTATATAGTTTTCGCAATTAGCATTCTGTAGTTGGAAGCAGCCGAAGTGTTTATTGCGGCCAACTCTCAAGGAGAAGAACGCGACAATCCCCTCGGGGTTGTGTTTTAACAACAGTTTATGTACCGTTCTTTATAAATCCCATGGACAAATTCGGTCCAATGTAGTAGCGCGTAACTTTTGGCCGTTAGTAATCGTTTTGGGGTTGTTTTTTTTCCCGGGGCCAAAACAAACGCCATTTGTCACGTCGACAAAAACGACGAAAACGTTTGAAGTAACGGAGTACTTTTTTCCTCTAGTCTCTGCGACCCAAAGCAACTCCGACGAACAGTTAAATATCGCTAGTTATTTTCGAGACAACTATTAATGCACAAACCCCGGACGAAATAAAAGAAATTTAAGCGTTTAACAACGAAAATCGTCATGCATTATCACACAATATAGACAGGTCGTGTCTGTCTATTACTATTATAATGAATCACTTGACCTAATCTGACGGTGTAAATAACAGCTATCTGTGCCGTAGAATCAATCCGTCTAAACGGTGCACGACATCAGATCCCTAATTACTCCTTCAACTTCCCCAAGTTATCAAAGAGATCTTTACTTTGTAAATATTTTAACACTTCACAAGGTTATCACAGGAAAGAAATGTTTAGTTGACATAATACAATATATGGCGAGAACCAGATACTTAGTTAACTTTATACACTTATTAAATAGTGTTTTTTAATTTCTACTAAACATTAATAAGTAAGATCACCTATAAAGTCTGAATATCGCTACGTTATTCATATGTCTAGTCGATAATACTATATTTTTCTTCGTGATAATATCTACCACCCTTTATATCGTGATTTGGTGTAAATATTAGAGAAACTTAACGTTCGATGATATTCTAAAAATATTGATATTTCTGTATTAATTTCAAAATTTAAAACTACCTCAAATCGTTTTTTTTTAATTTTATTTATGGGCAATTCGACTGATTTAAAGCCTGTTTATTTTCACCAGTTCACCCTTGGATAGTGTCCCTAGACGCAGGAGAAGCTGTTATAAGACGAAGATATTGTTCTTAACATTGAACAAACATGACAAATAATATATAGTAGGTACAGGAAAACAAAATCTGTATTTGTCTGAAATTATAACAGCTGAAGTTCAAATAACAATAAACTAATTACTGTATAAACAAGTGGAGTGTTAAGGGGGTGCAGTCACTCCTCCCATCCGAGCCCTTTTTTAAAACTATTACAGGTGCACAGACAGAGAGTTTGAAGAGGTTAAGCCCCCTTAAATAATTAAAAGCTTTTTAAAAAAATGCTTGAGAGCTAAACAGCATTTATTTCAGCCAACTGTCAAAAGTGTCCTCTTTAGTAAAAAAACGCAGTTTACTCGTCAACGATACACTCACAGTACAAACATGTATGACGATGATGCGACACAAGTATGATACATTGTTTTTGGTCACCGATTTTGAGAATAAATCCGTGAAATTAATCCATGAAATAAACCTTTGTTCGATATCCGAGTGAACACTCGCTCGGAAATCGGTTTTATTTGACGGTCGGTTGGGTTTCAGTAATGTTACAGTGTATAATCCTTCAGATGCATTGTGCAAATTAAATTTTATCCCCGGAGGCATCCCTGTATTGTTTATTTATATTTTTAATTTTTTTTTTTTTGTACATAAAATGCGATGCGCGAGCTAATGCCGAGTCGTAGGCTTAACCGGACCGGAAAACTTCATCAGTTGAGCATAACATGTAATAATAATAATAATAATAATACAAGCGAACACATAATATAATGTATATAACATTGCATATAAATAATATATAATACAGGCTTACTCTTACAGGGTATAAACGAACGGGTTAGAAAAGTTCACCTTAGTTTCTCTATATTATTATTATTATATACATATATATATATCTTACTTTTCAAATGCACAGGAGTACTACATCTCCACTGAAACCTAACCGTGC